TCGTACTATTTTACCAGCCAACTTTCTCGACACGCAAAACAGCGCCGACATTATCAAGATCATCTCCATTCTCGTGGCCCTTTGGTTCTGGGGTCTTTCCATGTGGTTCTTCCTCGTCTCTATGGGATCTCTATGGAAGTATCTGCATACAGGAAAGGGCATGCCGTTCCAAATGACATGGTGGTCGTTTGTATTTCCAAATACGGCTCTCGTAAGCACCCAACCCCCATGTCACAACCCCTCCCATGACCTTATTTCACGAACCTTGTTTGGCTCATTTGTTTCCTCCTGTTTTAGGTCACCGCAACCGAAATCATGGGGAACATCTTTGAGAGCAGGGGGCTGCAGCTTTTCGGGTGCGCCATGACGATTGCTCTCGTCATTGCATGGATTGCCATTTTTGCAACAATGGTTGCCTGCATCAAGCAGAAGAAGCTGCTCTGGCCGAAATCCAAATCTTAATGGTATTTGTATAGATGTTTATGATTGCTAGAGTTTCACGATACCCCCTCTATGTGTATTTATCTTTTATTTCTTAGCGTTGCGTTTAGATCTCGAAGCTACTCATTCATGGGGAGCAAAAATTATACTTCACATCACTGCAAATCTGCAAATCAAACAAAAAATGCTAAAAGATTTGACAAAAAAAAATATTCAACCGATTCAGACAAACATGAAAATTGTCAAAAAGATAGTAGAAGCGCCTAGAAGGCATTTCAACGGGTCTGGCCGGGGATTGAACCCGGGACCTCTCGCAAGCAAGCTTCAGGGTGTACCCTAAGCGAGAATCATACCACTAGACCACCAGACCTTAGATGTTGTTGGATCGCTGCTTGCTAAACAAAATTATAGACCTGTGCCATTGACAGCATGCAGCAAAAATCACAGGAATTGCTCGAAAGCATTCAATGATTCTAGTATTTACACATCATGGTAAAAAGCAAAGGAAGTGTCTCTTGGTCACTCCCAGACAGTGGACACGTAAAAAGTTTTTTCTAGCATCTTCTACTCCGGTTACTTTGCTTAACAATTTATTAGTCCTTTCTCCTAATCACCCTTTCGAAATGTTTCGTGTCCCTGATCAGACAACTCGTGTAAATCAAACTACCCTACAATTACATAGTCGCTTATAATTTTGACACCAAATTCCTCGCATCCCATAACACAAGAGTTGAACAACTGACGAGCCCCGTCTTGAGTCAACCATAACTCATTAAATATGATACAACACTGCAATCACAGGCAAAGAATTGAAAATGAGATAGAAAATATGAGTTGCCATTCGTCAAAACCATCCGCCATCCCTGGTGTCGTGTCCATCAAAATCACCAAACAATTAGATACTATAGCAAAAAGACAATACACTCCCCAACACCATGACTCAGATCGCCAGCAATTAATCGTCCCTTCTTACACCAGTCGAGTTTTCCATTTCCCGTGACCTTCTCCCCTCCCATCACCTTCTCTAGAAACCATACGCCATGCCCTACAACAACGCTCCCTACTCTTAATACGCCGCAGCAGACGGTTTGAGAGAAAAAAGAAAAATCGTAGAATAGAGAGCACCAAATGGGAGAACACACAGATCGTTTGGTTGGCATATAAAAATTTCCCCTGGGCTCATTTGTCGTTGCAGTCTTGTTTGCCGGATGAAAGTTTATGTCATTCGCTGCCGCTACTGAGCATCGAGAAACTGAAAATCAACGTAGTTCATTTCAATCGTCCAAATATTTGTACAGCAATGCCGTCACCGCGCTAATGGTAGAAACCTAAGCCAATACTTCTAAAGCCTAGCTCTAGGGTCTTGATCTGTCGTAGCATCTAAGTTGACTGTGACATCGCCAGTCTTTTCGCTTGTCTTGTCACCGTGGCCAAAGAAAATGACTTGAACAGTCAGATCATCGCTGTAACAGGATTAGTATAGGCCATTGGTAAGAGTAAGGAGACAACTGTAGAGGGGGGACTAACCGATATCGCCTTGAAAAAGGCGATGGTAAAGTTAGAAGAGCACAGACCTGCTCATCGTTGGCTCCTCCAAGGGCGTTGCGGACAAGATGAGTGGCAACGTTTTTGTCTCTAACAACAAATCGGTCTCTTGCATCGGGGTCAATTCCCCATTGTTGCAGACGGATTGGTGTCTTTCCGTCAAACCCAGCCGCTTCTCTGCCCTGTTCCACGGGGAGCGGCTTGCTCTGTGAGCCGAAGACTTTGGACCATGCCTTGTCAAATTGCGAGCTTGGCCTTCCCGTCTTCTGCGTCTCGATCCACTGGCCTACAAGGCCCACAACCTCTTCGTTTGTCAACATTTCCCACAGTCCATCGGTGGCAAGCACAACAAAGTCGCCATTCTCCGGCTCAATCTTGGTCGTGGTGACAATGGGTTCTGCCGTGACGTAGGGAGGGGTTTTTAGTAGAGGAGAGGGGCTTCGTCCAAAGAAGTTCTCGCGGAGTCTTCCAGCGACATCGCGGCTCCATTTGTAGACGGCATCACCAAACGCACGGGTTGGCTCCAAGCCACCCAAGACACGGCCGTTTCGGATAACGTGCTCTTCACCGGGATGTTCCATGCGCATGCGAGCAACTTCAGTGGGGTTGCCTCCTGTCTGGTCCTCGGAGAGAGCCGTAGCTATCCATTTGCCAGACTTTGTTCGACGGCCCAAGACGGCACGAGAGTCGCCTGTGCACGCCACACGCAGTAACTTACTCCTGCTGTCATAGAAGGATAGCAAAGCGCAAGAGCCAGACAAGGCAGGCTGCAGCAGCTCAGCAGCCACAGCTTTGGAGCTGGCCTTGAAGACCTTTTCGACACTTTTATGGACAATCTCATTGTCGAGGCGTGTGAAGCCGGCCTTGATAGCCGAGTCAATGGCTTCGGGGGCCGGTGCCGCGTTGGAAGAGGCCTTGTAAGTGCTATTTAATTCTCGAGCCACGTAGCTAATGAGGCTTTCCCGCAATGTTGCCGATGTCGTCCAGCCGCTAGAAGAGAGGGTGCCAATGTCAGCATTTGCCATATGGGATAGATCTTGTATATAATGGCCACAGCATAAAGATTAAGGATATACTAACGAGTGACCATCGAAAACTCCCCAGAACATCCAATCGCTACTGCTGACTTCATCCTCGGTGACCCGGGTGGGCACCTCGACAATCTTCTCGGCGTGGTCGTCCTCAATCGGATCGTTGCTCCCTAGCTGGACGAGGTCGTAGCGCGTGACGCCCTGGCCGCGATTGACATAAAAAGATTGTTCCTGGCGGCGCAGCTTGGCCGTGGCCTGGTCGGGCGTCAACATCTCGACGATCCTGCGGCCGTCCTCGGTCGACGACTTGTACAGCGGCCCCTCGCCAACGATGGTGCCCTGCCTTAGCTCGTCGGCTCCGACAACCAGGACAGTGCGCGTCGGCGCGGCATCGGCCGCCTGAGTGTTGGTGAAGCTTCGAGTGACGGCGCTGCCGGGGACGAATTCGGCGCCGTTGTAGTGCCAGGCGCCGTATCCAAGGATCAGACCAGAGGCCAGCGCGACGGGCAGACGACGGAAGTACATGGACGATCTCAGAGGCACATGGGAGGTGCTGGACTGGCGAGCGTGGTGAAGGTGATGTCGTCCTGTGTTCCGCACTTGGCTTCGCACGCTGGGGCGGTGACTTGTCCGGAACGCCCTGACAGCGGCACGATGCATCTGGGCGGCGACGAGCTGACTTGTGGGAACAGCGATGCTTGGTTAAGATTGTCCGTCTCTCTTCTTGCCTCGGGTGATGGAGCTGACAAGGCCGCGGGACAATCTGGAGTGCTAGTTCCGGGTCTAGTGCGAGGTGCTGGGGCGTGCGGCGGTTTGTTGTTTTGCACTGTGCAGCTACCCCAGCCCATGGAAAGTAGGGGATCGATTTCGACAGAGACGCCAGCTCAGCTTCCCTGAATAGGGTCATGGGCGTCTACTGGCACAGTGCGGCGTCGCTAATGGCGCGTGCCTCGATGAACATATCGGGCCTAGAAACAGCAACAAGCTCATTTCGGGAATTGCGCTTTGATCCCTGCACGATGGCAGTACAGGTCACCCCCGAACATGTGGTTGTTTACTTTTAGGAGGCGGAGGGGGGTTGTTTCGTGATATCTTACAAGTGCTCGTACAAAGTATTACTCGTACTGCTAGGTAATACGAGAGAATGAAGACTGCATGCCTGTAATACTTTTGTGTGCTGGCAAGGACCAAAGCGTTGTGATTCTCGAAGTTCCACCATATGACTGTTGTTCTACCCCTTTACGGGTTTGGGCAATCATGCATAATTGTATCTCATTGCCACCGTTTGGAGTCGAATCTACGGAGTACCCGTCTTCTTGTTGAGACACTGGGTATTTCTACTTCACGTTGAAAGGTCCCCGCATGTTGTTAGTTTACAACGTCCTGGCTTTCTTTGCAAAAATCTTACCTGGAAATATCTATCGCCTTCTCGCAATCGAAGTCTGTCAGTGCCTACTACTGACATGACAAGAGGTTGAGCTTACTTGTTAGGAATATTCTTTCAATTACTTGATAATGTTGCCTACAGTTCAGTTGGTCTTGTCTGAGTTAGCTGGGCAAGTTGCACTCATCCGGTCGGTGGTAGCTTCAATATCCATCTTACAGAATTGGCGGTATCGCTCAAAAACGGACGCCAAGTTCAAGTAAAATATTACTTTGGTTATTGTGTGGTTTATTCGTATAACTTATTAGTCCAAGGTAATGCAAGTTGTGAACAACGCATTGAGTTCATGACGTAGATTTAGAGGCTGAACACAGCATGTATTACGTCTGGTACCTGCACCTCCTACTGGACCCCCTCCAAGCGCCCATGTATCATGTGCAAGCCAAGTGCGTGGGGTCTCGTGTGCTGTCATTAGCTGTCCACCTTTCAGGCCACTTATTCGAACGTTCCGACATTTTTCTTTTTTCCGCCACAGCTTCGAACAACTTCCCACGCAAACCTCAAACCGCTGGTTTCAGATATTCGCTGCTTGCGCAATCATGGCAGACACCACGATTTCCAACGACGCCGACGCCGCCGCCCAGCGAGCCGCCGAGCAGGCGCGGCTTCGCAAGGAGCGCAGAGAAGCAAAGATTAAAGCTGGAGGGTCGGCGAGGCTGGAGAGAATCACCGGCGTTGGCGGTCGTGTTGTTGGAGGTTCGTATACCGCTTGGTGTTTCTTTTTCATCTAGGGAGCTCGTCGAAAGCTCTGTGCGAAACATGCTAACGGGAATATCGATGTTGAAGACTCAGACTCGCCAGCCCCATCCGCTCCGGCCACGTTATCAAAGGCAACATCAAGCGAGCACGCGGATCCCGCCGAGATCGACATCTCAGAGCACTTCTTCGTCCCGAAAAAGACATCTTCCCGCAAGCCTCTCGATGGCGTCTTCTCCCCCAGTCCCGAGCCGTCGCTCTCTGAGGACCAGCTGCGCCAGATGATGCTCGGTCTCGATCGTCCCGAACAAGCTGGCCCTGGAGTTGGCGCGACGGGCCCAGGTCTACCACCCGGCATGGAACTACCACCTGGAATGGAGGACGATCCCATCATGAAGATGATGTCCCAGATGATGTCCGCGGGATCGATACCAGGCTTCGGTGGCGCAGACGGAGCTTCCAACCCATTCGCCAACATGAACCTCCCACAGCAGCAAGCTGCAGTTCAGCTACCCAAAGCTTCGTCCCTGTCTTTCTGGCGCCTCATTCACGCCCTGGTCGCCCTTGGTCTAGGTCTCTTCTTCGTCCTCACGACAAACTTCACCGGAAGCAAAGTCGAGCGCGAGCGCCACGCCCTGGCATTCGATCAAGAGGTGGACGAAGAGACGGAGAGGCGGAAGAACCTCTTCTTCTGGGCGTTTGCTACAGCCGAGGTCTTGCTGCTGTCGACGAGGTTCTTCCTCGATAAGAGGAGTACCAACGCTACGGGATTTGTTGCGACGGCTATTTCGTACTTGCCGCAGCCGTACCGCGGCTACATTGAGGTTGGACAGCGATATTTTCAAATCTTCTCCGCTGTGAGGACCGACATTTTGACGTGTGTCTTTGTGCTTGGAGTTGTGTCATGGCTAGTGTAAAGTGTCACTATAGCTTTCTTTTTATATAGCATCGTGTAATAGGAATGGATAATACAGCATAAACAATTAATACTATGTATTTATTACCAATTATAACATCAGGGTTGTTTGTGTATATTGTCTAAAAACCATAGCTTATTCCAAAGACATCCAAAGAAGAAGAAGAAATTAGTCATGTACACGTCTCAGAACCCTCCCAAAAGAGATCATATATGCCCATATGCCCGGTTTATTTCTTCAACACCATGCCCAGAATACCCCCTAGCACGCCTCTAACTCTCTTTGGATTCTCGAGGGCGCAAGTAAACACGACTGCCGTGCTCGCTGCGAATATCAACTTCTCTCGCCACTGCTTCTCCAGGGGATACCGCCGAGGAACCAACGTTGCTAGTGCCCGCGGCGCCACAAACAGGGCCATGTCTTTCCTTCTACCCGCCGTCTCGATAAAGACGCTCCATCCGCAAAGGCAGCATCCGGTACCGACACATATGCCCTCGTCGATTCGCTGGCGGTTCGGTATTTCTTTGCCGAGGACGCGGGGGCCGAGGCGAGTGCGGGCCAGACACACCCCGTAGTAGAATAGGGTTATAAAGGTAGCGAGAAAAGTGGATGATCGGGTAGAGCCGGTGATGGCCTTGACGAGGTTGATGCGCCTGGGGTTGCGTAGTTGAAGGGCCAAGGCGAGGGGTAGGTAGGTCAGCATGGACCATTTCCAGGAACGAAGGAAGCGGCTGATAGCATGATATTCGCATGACGGGCCACACCCCATGTGGACGAGGTCGCAGGGGAACGGGACGATCTTGGCAGGGTCACCCCATTCCGTGGGCAGGCCGTAGTCGTCGCACATGGAGCCCAGCAGCGGCGCCTGGCCGGTCTCCTTGCCGTAGATGAGCTCCCCGTTTCTGCACCGGCGGAGAGCTTCGATGAGGCGTAGGTCGACAGAGGCCGCAGACGTAATCCACTTGTTGTAGCTGCGAGGCAGGCTGTCTGGGGAGTAGAACCATGCCCACATGATGAGGCCTGAGGAGGCGGCAAACACGACGGGGTCCATGAGACGGGACATGACTTGCTCAATCTAGCCAATTAGCTCGAGAAGAGAGCACAGTGAAGAGAGGCTACTAACCACCGTCCACTTGCCCGAAGCCTTGCGACGGGAGCGACGTTGAGACCACAGCTCACCGACGAGGACGTCGGCGGCGCGGGTGACAGCAAAGAGAGTGAGGTCAAGCGTTCGACCGCCATAACCGCCGGTTGAGGCTTCGGACAAGCCCTGCTGCACTGCAGCCAAACCGGAATCTGTCCACGATGGGGGTGTCTGTTGTGTCTGCTTAGACTGGAGAAGCTGGAGGCTGAGCCATCCTGATATGAATGTAGACAGCCATCGTGCTAGTCTGTGTCAACCAAGACAAGGGCAAACCACCCGTCAGCTTTCGGCCAATATAGAAGAAACGTTGCACAAGATGGAAGGGCTATTGTGTCTATATTCGGAGGCTTACCTGAGTTGTGATGTCGTACTGAGCTGGGTGGCAACGCGGCCGATGATTTTGAGCAGAGGTTCCTATATTGTTGTTACAGGTTGATCGTCAGCGCATATTGCCAAGCAATGATACTACAATTGGCTAAGAAATTGGTCACAGTTTGAACCCAGACTATTACGAACACGGGACTATACGGTCGTATTCTCCTTGTCATGGGGACGGGCAAGCGGAAGCTGGCCGAGGGAGGGATTGTTCTCTCCCAAACCAACCGTCTCTGGTCATCAAACCTGACTCAACCCGACTTCTAATAGATAGTCATCATCTTACCTGCAGCAAAGTCGAGCCTCCCACCAGGGCGGCACAAAACGTGGGGAACCGTCGTGGATCCAGGCCGGTCCGTAGGATTCGGAAAGCCGAGTCCTTGAACGACCGCTCGTCCTTGTCCGAGGAGAGATACTTCTTTGCGCTCTTGCGTTTCTTGGAGATGAACTGCAGCATCAGCGTCAACAGCCGAGGCGCAACGGCCGAGGCATAGCCTAGAAGATAGGCCCGGACTAACGGCCGCAGGGCTGCAGGCAGGGACTGGAAGCTCAAGGGCCCTTTAGGCTGGATGGCTCGAAGGGCTGAGGCCATGGGGTGCTTCTCCAAGGTCAAGGCTGCCATGATGGACTTGGAGAGCCAGAACCGGCGAAAGTTGTATTGGGCGAGGTTGAGTTCAGCTGGGCAGAGACGAGATGCCTAATTGAGTGGCCACCAGCACAAGGGACCTCTGCCTGAAGCAGCGCCCGGGGCCAGAGCTCCAGGGCAGACAGACGAATGGCGTTCCGCAAGATGTAACGCGCCGCTCGCTTTGGATGATTGGGGGATGCCTGCAATGGATCTGCTTGGGCTGGGCCGCGGCTTTGATAGCTTGGTGCGGGAGGTGTGACGCGACCGCCTCTCAGCGCGATGATGTAGCTGCGTCCTCGTATATTATCGAATCACGGCTATCGGCGACAGGGAAACAGTAAAAAAGGGGGACAATTGACAATGATCTCAAAAAAGGACAATGATGGAATACACGCAAAGCATAGAATTTGCTAATTGGCGGGCTAGGGGAAGGCCGATTGTTTCGTTGACTGTGGCGTTGAACGTTTAAAGGGGACCTTTTTTTAAGCATTGCGCACTAGGTAAGGACGGAGAGCAGGTACATGTAGCAAAACCTCAACCTCGTGGGGTGCGAATCTCGAATCCGGAGCCTCGGCAGAGCAGCCAGCAGGTGCCGGATGCAACTCTTCCATTGCATTTGATTGCATTGGATCTGGTCCTTCAAAATGCCCACTAGTACATGAGTTTCTTTTTCTAGTAGCTGTGATATACTATCGTCGACTTTTCCTGGTGTCTTGTCTTACTCCCCCTTCGTGATTATTACTACCGCTTCTTACTGCATGTGCTAACTGTATTATCACTATATATTAGAATTGAAACACGGGATGCTGGATGGCCAACTTCGGGTACAGTACCGCATCTCATTAGCCCTTCATATTATTCATGCCACGCTGCTATCTGCATGCTACGATGCACAAGGACAATCAAGGGAGGCATCGCTCTTGGCGCACCGGCTCTTCAGATCAAGCAACCACTAACACTCAACCGATGTCACTGCAACCCGGCATGTCACGAACCCGAGCTCCACCAAACGCGGGAACTTATGTTTTTCTCCTTCTATTTCCTTCTTTTCGAGATCGAAATGCCAGGGGGGGAGGCGAAGCCATCTTGCGACGCTGGAGCCATGACTAGTTGCTACGAGTAGTATACCTCGCGAACCTCGGCCGAGGCAGACGCAGAGGGGGGGGGAACACAGACCGATGTTCTGATCTGGCAGTCAGGCCGGCACGGTAGGCCTAAATGATTTGCAGACTAGAACATGGACGCCTCGCCCTAAGAAGAAAAGGAAATTGATCCAACTGCAACTGAAGATAGTAGTGTAACACTGCTTTTCGGCATAATGGTGATCATTGAACGGCATGGCATGGGGGACCTTTTTGACTTGATTGCAACGTCAAACCAACTTGCCAACCCAAGTTCGTCAACGAATCTAATAATACCTGCCCCAGCTGAGACAGATTTTTTACGGCGCATGTCCGAGTTAAGCAGGTTGGGAGCAAGCAGTGCTACGGAGGGGGGTGCATATCTCCGTACGGAACATTTTGGCGGCAGGCCTGTTCCTAGATGCATCTCAGCGTTCCGTCATATGTTCGTTGCTGCTCATCATTATTGTGTCTTGTGTGCTTGGGGTGCCGAGAATGAAGAATGACGAAATGGCATGTGATGCTCGCTTTGGCGAATAAGTGGGTAGAGCGAAGAGAGAAGCTGTTTGAATCAAACGGGGTTTATCAATTAACTGGATTGAAGGTACAAGCCAGAGTTTTGGAGTACTAGCTCAGTCTATAAATTGAAGGGAGAAGATAGGTGTGAGGCCAAGTAGCTCCAAGTACCTCTGCTCAATAAAAAGCCTCGATAAAGAGGTAAAGTATCCAATAGGCGTTGTCCATGCTATTCCTATTCCTGCAGCTAGAGCCACTCCGTACACCTCTGCCAAACAAACCCACCAGGTGACTTGAATAGAGCGGGCCTTGACGGGACAGGGGGTGCTTGAATTTTTCTGGTTCGTCTCCAAAGACGGTCGTACAGGTACAGGTACGAGTACAGATACAGACAATAATACGGGCAATGGCGATTCCTTCATGCCATTACTCGTACAGTAACGCACAGCCGCAACCGACGACCAAGCGGGTTCAGGTTCACGCCCACCGCCAGCACCGCCGGTGTTGCATGAGGGCGCGTGGAGCAGAAGCAGCCTCAACTGGATCTCCCACAATCCGTCACATCGAATCAATTAATCAATCAATACGGCTCTAGCCTCCCGAGCGCTAGCATAGCATTGTTGCAACAAAGTTCTCAAGGTTCTCTTATGCGCGAGTAGGTACGAGTACCGAGTACACGCATCGAGCCGCAGCCCGAGGGCTCCGCTACCGCCTCTGCACCTAGATTGCTTGCTTTGCTCCAGGTTCCTTGCTGCTTACTTGGTACCAGGCGGCGAGCGTCCGAGTACAGGAACTTGGATTCATTTCATGTCCTCGTGCCCCTCGTGGGGTCGCCTGTTAGTGGAGTGACGCCTCTAACAGGCTCGTCCGCTGCAGCTTTTTCCCTTCGCCCTTGGTCGCCCTTGACTGCCATTTGCTCCTGATTCTGTTCAAGTCCTGGCGAGCTGAGTCGTTGTGCTCTGTCTGAGCTGTCAATAGTGGACATCAAAGTGCGTGCGTGTGTGCTCAGCAGACTTGGCCGTGACAGCACCAGAAACGACTCCACTCCCTCTAAACGTCGACCCGTTTTAGCGGTGCACCAGCCAAAACCAGCGCTCTGCTAGGCCCTCCAAGAACCCTCCAACCCCCCTGGAACCACCCACGACACCACCTGGACCAAGCACCGAAACCGTGACCCAGCCGCTGAACAGTACTTTGAACAGTCCTGCGCCCCACTCCAACTCGGCCTCACCTCATATTCTGCTTCGACCTTTAAACCTCGATCCCCCCCGTGGTCGGATTTCCGCTACCCCGGATTTCCCCCCAGCTTCTTTCATGTGCTTCTCGAACTAAGATCGCGTGCGCCCTACAAACATCGCCGTCCATCGCAAATGTCCATCCGAGGCCAGGGCATCCGTAGCGCCTGTTTCTCGTCATTCTTCTTCGCCTAGTCCCAGTCCCGCGCACAGCATCGCGGCCTCGTCCGGCTTTCATCTCTCCTACACAGGCGCACCCATGCTCGCCGTCCGGCAGCCTCCCAGCAGGATGGGTTCGTCGCAGCCCGATTCCGATCCTTTCCAGATGCCCTTCGGATGTGCGTTTGTCCCGAGCCGCCTGCTGTTGTAGGACTTAAAAGAGTCATGCTGACCCTGCCGTCTCTAGATTCCGTCGATGGCAACCAAGAACCTCTATTCGATGCCCCCGAGCCTGCGCCCGGCGCTCCTTTGCTGAGCGAAACCGATAGCAAGTTTCTCAGTGATTTCTTCGATGACATGACAGCAAATCAGTACAACATGCCCTCTTTCGGAGAGGGTCTGAATTACAATGCCTGGTTCGACCTACCGCCCCAGTTGATGGGAACAGCAACTTCCTATGGATCTCAGTCAGCCGCACCTCTCGGCCAAGAATCACATTTAAATTTCACCAATGACTCTCACAGCCCTCATATGGGCATTTCTGGATCACATCTAATGCCACCGCCACCACCTCCCCCTTCTCAGCCGAACGCTTACCAACAACACCCCTCCGATGATGTTTTGAACGCCGCCGCCACGTTGATGCAAAATGGACCTGGTATGCGTGGAGGTCATAAGAACAACGAGTCGTCTACCCCGCGGCGGCCCCTTGGTCCTCCAGTCGGCCACCTCCGCCACCAAGGTCTGGAAGAGTTCCGAGAAGAGAGCCGTAAAGGCATGGCGCACACGGAGATTGATAATACATTTACAGAATGGATGTGGGGTTCGGGTTCCAAAGGACGCCAGAATTCGACCACACGAGCTATCCCCGTGGATTACCAATGGGGCTCTGATTCCAACTTCAACCTGGCCCAAGGCTATACACCCGAAGCGAATAAGGAAACGGTCGAGTCTCAGCATCAGGAACAGCTCAAGTGTCTCGAGTGTTTGGAGCCCAACCAGAGCGCTGCAACAACCCGTCCTAGCAGCCCGACCAACAGCCAGTCCACGTTCCCGATAGGCTTACATAGAGACACATCAGAGTCCGCAGAGAGACCGGACGACGACGACGACGCACCCCCGCGGAAGAGACGAAAGAGCAAAATTAAGAAGGATAGCACAGAGGAAGGCGAGGATCAAAGCACCAACGGGAGCAAGTCTGCTGCCGCCAAGCGAAGGAAAGCAAAGGGCGATCGGAACGGGTCCATCTCGTCGCCACCCATGGAAGTCGGCATGGCGGGCAAGCGACGGAAGTCAGCCCTGAACGGAGTCAAGCCACCGCGTGAAAACCTGTCAGAGGAACAGAAGCGAGAAAACCATATCCGCAGCGAGCAAAAGCGCCGAACCCTTATAAAAGAAGGGTTTGATGACTTGTGCGAAATTGTTCCCGGACTCAACGGGGGAGGCTTCAGCAAGAGCACCATGTTGACCATGACGGCAGACTGGCTCGAAGAACTCCTGGTAGGGAATAGGGACCTGACTGCCCAGCTCGCTGCCCTCGAAGGACGATGAGCTTTATCAGTTTGACGGCTAATGGTTTTACGCTTAATTTCCCTCTGTTTTTTTTTTCATCTTTATTTTTATATCTTGGTCAAAACCAGCGTTCGAATATTTGGAGTCGGGGCTTTACTATTCCACGGGACGATTGCGAGGCGTTGTGTGCTCATATACTCGGGGAGATAAAAGGCTGTGGAGGTTATAATGAGTGGTCCATCAGGTTGATTTCTGGCTGGAAAAGGGAAACGAAGAGTTATGGGGGGTTTATGTGGTTATTATCATTGTTGTTATTATTATTAGTACTACCCATGATTCCCGATATGAAAGATGCCAAGTCGGCATCCATAGGACGCAAATGCTAGATAGATGGACATCAAAAAGCGCGAGATAGCACATGACAAGGAAGGTTTATTACCCAAGTATGATGATTTTGTGAATCAAACTCGACTATAGTAGTTCGAATAGGTGAATTGATGCTTTTGATATAGAGTTCCTCCAGCAGTGGCTTTGCTCTCACGATGGTTGTCAAATCCCCCAGCCATTCACTTAAAAAGTAGCCAATGGCATCAACCCCCCAACGACCAAAACCGGGGCCGAGGTTTGCCCACCTCCCGCCATTCACCCACTTCACATGCAACCCCGGCGAATAGACTAAGAGGTTGAGCCAACGAGATAGACTGAGTTGAGAACCGTCACCAGCCATTTTCATAATTCAGATTCATAGTCTGCCTCTTTTCAGGTCTCATCGCACAATACCCGATCCACCACATCACAACTCAGCTGTTGGATAGAAACACACATCTCTCATATAAACAGTCCAAAGCGAATCCCCTCATTAAAAACCCCCCCTCCCCCAAGAAACAATACAATGGCAGAGCCTCAGGAACCATATCCAGGCGCAGACCGCATCCGCTCACTAACAGACCAAGACGCAATCTTCAACGCCTTTGACGCCTATCCCTGGACCAAAGACTCTGCCTTTCTCGTACGTCCAAACCCATCTCATATAACTCCCCACCCTTCCTTTATCACACAACACACTCTCATTCGTCCTTTCACCTCCGAAATCCCAAATCTCATCTCACTTACATTAAAACAACAAAAGTCCGGTCTCCGCGCCATCCTCGGCACCCCAAACTCCTCCAACCCACAAGGCTCCCTCCGCGACATCGCCACCCACGCCCGCATCTTCTACTACGCCCAGCGCATCGGCGTCCAGATCGACTTTTCCGCCTACCACGCCTGGCTCGCCCAGAACCCGGACCATCAACCCCCGCACATCATCCCCGAGGAGTACGAACAGCAACCGTCGTCCTCATCTCCATCTTCTGCTACTCCCTGGCAGCAGGCTGCCCCCAAAGCAGATCTTTATGTCGATCGTAGCGCCCAGTCTCACTCCGGCGAGGGGGAACCGTCTTACCCCCTTGGTTTCGCCGAGATGATCAAGCTCCTCCAGGAGGGCAAGCCGATTCCTGGCATTAGACAGATTCCCAACACCATTGAACGGGATCCTGTAAGTACAAAACCTCAAACATCGGGTTGTCTTTTGTCTCCGGCTTCTGTACTCACAAATGGGCCCCCCCTGTAGACGGTGAAGCCTGTTGGATCACGGCCCGTTCCCAGAAAGCCTTGGGAGAAGGAGGCATCTACAAATGTCGAGGCGGGTGCCGGCGGTGTTGAGAACACACTTGATCTCGAGTTCCCCCCGGTGGAGCAACAGAACGCAGCGGCAGCCACAACAGGATCTTCATGATGCCGGCAGTGTCATGGCTGCCCGATGGTGATGGAGAGAAACTATCCATATGGCCCTCACTATTGAAATGCATTCATGGCATCTACTGGCGGATGCAGATGGCCCGCGCTCCTGTTCACGTGTGACAGTTGGATGCCAAGCTGAACATATCTGGTCACGAATTAATAAACATACCCCCTTCAACCTGAAATTCTGTCTCGATTAAGCGGCCTAGCATCATTATTCGAAATTACGACCCCTTGTGCTTGAAGCACGCGGAAGCCGCAGTCAAAACAAAAAAAAGAGAAATCCTGTAATAAAGAGCGTCGCAACTATTAACACAATTAAGACTTTTTTCGTATAACATCCCTCCGTTGTCTCCGCCGCGCAAAACAAAATGCAGTTTCCATCAACGTGATACACTCTCACTTGCTTCCCTTTTCTGCAATTAAAAATGTTATAATAACCACCGGGCTTCTATATCAGTTAGCTCAAGTTTCATCTTCGAGTGTTGGGGGGTACGGACCGTTCTAAGTGAATGTGTTATTGCCTTTTACATGTCGAGATGCAATCTGAGCTCTTGTCAAAGAGAATGTTGTCGTTACGGTTAGCAGATGTAGTCTCCTGCATATTTCAAAATGCATAACCATATTGTGTCCAATGCACCCAGTCAGGCAGTAGCCAGCTGAGCGTAGGATGACGGGTGATCTGTAAATTGATTGCATGGGAATATGTTCATAAGAAGAAGTCGACAAATTCTTTGTGTCATCTTGTGACCTGCGTGAGAGCAACAAGAGTGGAAATTAGATATGGGACGAGTCGGCAAGATGTGTTATGAGAAAAAAACAAACGATGCTGCGCAGGAATGCCTAGCAGAAGGCTTGCCAGATTGTTAGGTAGCGTCTCGCACACTTATACACCATCAATGCCTATACCGCATCAGCGGTAAGAGGTTCCGAACCTGGCTGGTCCTGGTCCTCCGATGCGACTGCTGCCCATACCGGGCCCAATGCCGGGGCCAGGGCGAGTCGTGACCGCGTGGTTGGTGCACAGCATTCCGACACGAGATCCAAATTTGGACCCCCTGAGAGAGACCATGTGCTTTCGGATATGGGCAGCAACCATCTCACGATGTTGAGGAGAAGCGTTGTTAAGAATCCACTGAATAAGGTAATTTCCGTATTGGTCGCTGGCAATGTCAATCAATGGAATGCGAGTGCGGTCGCGGCGCCCTTCGCAAACTCGATCAAGATATCGACCGAGAAACTCGGCACTTCCAATCTTGAGGCACTTCTCCACAACCTTGGAGGCGAATTGATCAGTGCTATACTCTGCGGCATACCGGATGACGTGGTCGATGGCCCGGCTACGGTCAGGGGGCGCTCCGTGCTCGCATATGTGCTGGATGCACCAGTTCCCAAATTGGCCGTGAGCCACAATGTCGATATTGGCAAGGACTTCTTCGATGCAAGGGCGCTGAATGAGCGTGTATTAGCTAAGAATTGAGATGTCTTAGGAAAGTCTGGATACCACTTACCTTGTCCTCTTCGAGGCAGTTCTCAAAGATGTTCTGAACAACAAGACTGCCGGTCTCTCCAAGGGCAACCTCGTGCCACATTCCTCGGAGAGATTCGTTGACGAATTTCATAATCTGAGGTGGGGATTCGGTCCATCGAAGCTCGAAAAGCTTCTGCCAAACGTGGCAGGCATATCTGTGAATCACGGTCTCAGGGATTCGACGGAGAAGCTCGTGAACCATGATCGCCTTGTATTCTTCTGGGACTGAGTCGAATGCCTTTTGCACAACGTGGCACCCAAAGGGATCCATGGACAAGTTCAGAGTGTTGCCACGAATGGCTTCGGCAATTTTAATGACCTGCTCTGGAGTCCCGTGCTCAAAGCAGCGTTGGACAAGGAAGTTGCCAAACCTGTTGACCATCAAGGGGTATGCCTGTGCGACAATCGCTTCGACAATCTCATACTTCTGCTCTGGTGTGCCCACCTTGAGCTTCTGTTGCAAAAAGATGGAGGCTTGTTGGTCATTGTTGCAAACAATTTTGTCAACAATGTACTTCCAATTGCAATTCACATTTCGGTCGAGGAGGCGGCGGTAATTAAGAGGCTCTGTTGGTGGGAGATAGGTTGGTCCCTCTGATGGGACAACCTGTTTTTCATCAGCATGTGGATGGTAGTGAGTGATTTCCATCGAACTGCCGGGTACCTCATTCTTCCAGCCAGCCTTTGAGGTGAACTCTGAGGCATGGGGAGAAAGAGGAGTGCCAATTGCTTGTTGATGAAATGGAGGGAACATGTTTATGCCCATCGGAGCCATTGCTGGTCCGACGCTAACGTGAGCACCTGGGACCGGGACAGGCACTGGGCCTCCGACCGAGTCAAACTGATGAGCTGGGCCGTTGAGATTGACATATGAGGCCCCAAACTGGTGGCTTGGATTCATTCGGTTGTCGAAGCGAGCACCACGGCGGTTCGATGGGGGGCGCATGATGTCGTGATCAGGAGCTTGACGCTCAGGGCGATGATTGTCAACGAGGATGTAAGGCGAGTTTGGGTCTACGCAACCCTGATTAAATCCACGACCGCCAAACCAGTGAGCGGGAGATGGCTCAGGAGCAGAAGGATGAAGAGAGTTGTTGTTGGCGAAGGGCGCCTTTGTAGATCCCCAGATTCCACGGGCACGATTAAGTGCGGTGGCCGAGGCAGAATCACTAGTATCGGACTGAGTATCATCTGGGGTGCCTCTGCTCCAAATATTCTCCCGAGGAGCTGTTTCAGTGCGAGGGATTGCTGCGTCAGATTCCTTGGCAGATCGCGACTGAGCAAGCTCCTGGTCCAGCTTAGAGATGTGATTCCTGGCTTGTGCTAGCTGTAGTTTCAGGCGAAAAACTTCTTCAGCATCTGGACGCGGATCGTCAAGTGTAACGCTAGCCGGACGCGTGGTCGGGGCTGTGGCAGAGAAACCTTCGGTTACTGGAGTGATGGGAAGCGAAGTGCTCGAAGGAGTTTGGTCACAGACTCTCAAGAAGGAGCCTTCGTCTTCCACTACTTTCGCGCTCTGATTCTGTTGATTGATGGAAACCTGCTCCGGCATTCTCGCAAAAGGTTTCTCCATATGATAGGAGTTATTAGTGGGTAGGTTGTGGACGTGCTTCATATGAACTGTGAGTAAGAGGCAAATCAAGAGTAGATGTTGTAGACAGTTACCTTTGGGTAACCTTGGTTTGCCAACTTTGAAGTGGTCAATGGCGAAATGCCCTTTTCTATCATCGCAGATGTGGTTCCAGTTTCCTAGAGCAAGGGAGTAAGCAAATATATACCACCATGCCTCTCATGCTGCCAATTAGAAGCCAAATATCCGGCGTTCATACTGTCGTTGCAATTATCAGATCCAGGGATGGTAAAAAACTTACACTGGAGGCTACAGTAGCTGAGAGCACATTTCCTGCCTGCACCAACATGTCTTTCAGGGGTGTGCCGGCTGAGAACGTAACCGAACGCTGAGGAGTAGATCCCGATGAGCCGGAAGTCGACATTTCATCCGCAGAAGATGATGGGAAGAGATCAACGAGATAAAGATCAAAGAGAGGATGCAGCGGCGAATGCTGTTTGGAATAGACAAGCTCCCCTGAGAGGGCTAGACTAGGCGCAGTTTGCGTGCCAGAGTTGAAAGAGGGAAATGAGGAAGAAAACGAGTGGACGATTTGGGATGTTGTGTAGACGGAGAAGAAATGAAAGGGACAGAGATTTTAGAAGTAGATGTTAGTGGTCGGTTGCAGTCTCGGGTGAAAGAACGGCCTGTCAGGCAGTGGGAGGAAGGAGCTGGCAGCGGCTGTCAGTTCCTATCGCCGAAAAGGGCCACCGCCTTGTCTGGTGCTCGCTAAGGCCAAAAGACAAGGCAGGATTTATACGTCAGCCAAGGTCAGGCACAAATAAGGAGTTGGATGCGATGTTTTGGCGGTGCTGAGCAAAGCTTTGCAACGAGTTTAGATGCATTCAGGTCTGGAAACAAGAGAGAGAAGGGTGGAATATATAAAAAGGAAAGATAGAGAAGACGCATCAGGCAATTTCAGGCATCTATGAGTGCTTGAGGACTCGCCAAATAGACATTGTAGGCAACGAACGCCTCTGTGAATCACAGCCAGCTTCCAAAGAGTGTCTAGAGACGTGGATTTTGATCTCCTTTGTTTGCCCTTGGCTCTCTGTTACGCTTAGGCACCAACGAAGTAACGTTTTTTATAGTTATCTGGGTTCGGAATTCTGGTCGCCAGAAGAGTCATGATATGCGAAATTTCCAAAGTGTAGTACCAGGCCAGTAGGTGCCAAAGTTACTGCGTACTTGGCGCCGAAATTAGAAGCCTCCAACATGCGCAATACAGACGTTTCTCATTCGATTCGGTGACCATCCTAGTTGACATAAAACCTCTACTCATATCCATTTCATCTAAGACAACATTCTTTTTCTCGTCTCGCAACGGAATCAGATGGTCTGATCCGAGCGTAGGGGGTAATTGTACAGTACAGTCGATTTTACAATCTCAAGTGGCATCACAGAGCCTTGAGTCACCATATCCTTCAACGCCTTTTCTTTTTCCTTTTTAAAGTCTCCCACTATGACAATATAGATCCGTGCTCAAGTGAATCAGACATGATAGCGTGGAGAGGACACCATCGCAACTGATAGCGCAACGATTATCGCTTCTTTCCGGGGGTGGGAGCTGCAGAATTCTTAGCCAATGGACATTCCAACAGGAAAACAAATCGTCATCAGATAATGATAACATACCAGGAGGACCCTTCTTCTTCTTTGGTGCACTCTTTCCACGCTGCTTAAGCCTAGAATTGCAGTTTTAGCTAGCCGTCTCTTCGAGGCTTGTTCCAATGCACCTACTCTTCAATGTACTCGAATCGATCTTCCTCGGCGTCGTCCCACGTGGCAAGCACCGGACCAAACTCTCGCTTCACATCCTTAATCGACGCCAGCTTCCGGGGGTAGTAAGCGGCGAGCGCAGGGCCTTTGAGTCGCTGTCGCAAGACCTTGTTGCCCATGCGAATCCCCTCAGGGTTGAACGTCGTGGCGAATACTTGGCATTGCGCCTAAAACAAGTCAGTTGGCCATTTGAAAGCAATAGAATTTTTGGGTAGACTTTACCTTCATCAAGTCTAACAACCGCGCACGAGGGACACTCATCTTTACATGCTTGATCTCCAATGATGGCACCAGTTTTCGACGTTGAATTGAAGTTTGAATGCGCACATCAGAAGAAAATAGGCTAAGCCATTTGGGGCTAGCATCTACTGCACTTTAGGAGGTGGGTCGTGCTACTCAAGTGAATCGATTCGCCCCAAAAAGCGCCTTGAATTCATCTTGGATTCTTCACATCAAACGCGAATATTTTCATCATTAAAGTTTCAGTATAGTGTCAGAGAATATGCATAAGCGACGAAATGCATCCCCAGGGGACCACTGGGCAAAGCGGCATCAGACGGGGGATCCGAGAAAAAACGACGAATTTGTCAATAGCGCCGAGCCATCAAATCAAGCGTTGGCATCGCTTGCAGAACAAGCAGATGAGCTCATAGATTGTCTCCAAGCCTTGAAGCGCCAGCTCTCACAGAGCAAGAACCCTGCAGAGCTCCAGCTTGGAAATGTAAAATCACGACTGTCTCGATTGACGAAGCAGCTGCTTCCTTCATTTCAGATTCTCGGCTCTCTTGAAGAGCCTGAGCCTGAGGCTCCACAGCCCATAGTTGAGACAACACCAGCGGTATGCATATGACTTTTCCAGCGACTTCCATCATCCAATTAGCCAGTCAAAAATTAACATCAAAACCTAAAGGCCTCAGTAGTCACCCATGACACTTCTAGCATACCATTGCTCTCTAATATCAGGGTAACACCATGGACCTCATCGGAGATTCAGCAAGAATGGCCGCCTCTACCTCCTATTTTGGACCCTAAACTCAAAGAAGAAGTATTCACACACCCAGGACTTGGGTTGAAGTACAACTATGAGCGCCTAGAATGGCTAGGCGATGCATATCTCGAACTTATCGCGAGCTCTCTCATTCACCAAACATTCACACAGCTGCGTTCTGGGGCTTGCTCTCAACTCCGCGAGAGATTGATTCGAAATGTCACTCTCGCCGAGTATTTTCGACATTATGATATGTCTCAGTGGGCCAAGCTTCCGGGTGCCTTTGGTGATTACAAGGGCCATGGGCGAGGCAGGTCAAAGGATAAAGACTTGGTGAAGACACAGGCCGACATGTTCGAAGCCTATGTCGCAGCTGTAATTCTCTCGGATCCTCAACAAGGCCTTACGAAAGTCGTGGAGTGGCTGAAGACACTCTGGGGCAGGACTATCAAGGAAGATATCTACAAAGCCGAAGCAGCAAAAAAGCGATCAGAAGCTTCCCCAACAACGGCGGAGGTGACAAGCTCAACTGCAAAGCAGCGACTGAGCGTGAAAATCGTAACCAAGGGGGTTACGATTGACTACAAGGATCTCCCTGGCGAGAAGAAAGACAAGAATCTTGGACTACCTCTGTTTACTGTTGGAGCATATCTTACCGGCTACGGCGAGGTTGGAAGACTATTGGCAGTTGGCACAGCCCTAAGCAAAAAGGATGCTGGACAGAAAGCAGCTGAGACGGCATTGCAGAACAAGCGACTGATCCAGGCATACGAGGAAAAGAAGAGGCAGTATATGCAAGCTAGAGACGGCGATTCGGTTTTGAACAGCCTTTTGTCTGAGTGGTGAAATAAGAGGCGTTTACGGGTATGGCTACCGACAAAGGGATACAATGCAGGATACATTACGTGAGGATAATGAGTGGATTTGGTCTTGAATCTCGAACTGGACTACTGTTGAACAGGATACATACAGCCTGACTATTGTCATGAATAAAGAACATTGTCATGTTACCGCCAATGCTAGGACAAGCTGTATCGAGTGTGGTGACTGTTAGCGAAATGTCTCGCTATGGTGACCAGCTTGTAACCACTTGTCACATCATGCGTTTTGGGAGCCCGATCTCCCGATATGTGTTGTCTCGGCCTGCATAATTTCTTAGTCAGAAATGAATGAGGCGTTTCACTTGCGAGTTGTGTGTCACGGAACAGTAAAGATGCTTCAGATGGAGCAAACGTTTGCAAAGTCGGTGCTTTGAAGCTCAAGGTGTATTTTGTCCATAGTTTCGACTCTACTAACAGGTGCTAGCCCGTGCACTGGGAAATACCTACGACCTAGGCTGGTATTCCCCTAAATCTAACCAAATAACTGGACCAAAACTGCATGGATGCCATTCTTTGCCCGCCTACATAAAAAGCATTGAAGACCCTCTTCATGTGTTGGGCAGCTAAGGTAATCTGGGGTAAACTGGAACTAAAACAGACCCGGCGCCGTCTGCAGTCGAGGTACCTTTTACTAAGCGCCCAGGCGACTTTCACGTGCTGCGGCAGGTATCACATACCCGAGTTGATGACGCGAGGCCCAGCGCAGCTCTGGTTGTGCCACACTCTTTTTCAGCAGCCGAAGCCCCCTGGCCGGTAGCGTCGAAGCATTTCCGAGTATTATGGAGCGCGAGCGCGCCGAGGTTCAATTGCGAGCCGGACGACAGACCGAGCCTCAATCGCCAACGAACGCCCGCAGACATAATCTTCGACATCCACTAACTTGCCACGACTAAGTAATCAACTGAAATCCTCATCCTGCCACCTGCCTTGCGTCATCGTCGCGGGATAAGAGCTTGTCGCAGCGCTGAGGCTCGAACGACTTGTTCTGTAGCTGCGGTGTCTCGAAGCGTTCGTCGGCTGTTATCGCCAAACCGATCAGCCTTTCCGGATCAACAAATCCAAGCCCGCAGTCGACGCCCTGTTCCACCCAACAATTGCCATCTGGTCGCCACGAGAGAAGAGATTCGAGAAGAATAAGAATAGGAGAAGAATTCCCACCAATTCTAGCAGAGAATTTTTCCCCCAGGCGATTTCACGAGGCCACTTTCAGGCTCGTTGGGAGCAGCACGGCTCCCCGTCATAGCCGCCCCCGATGGCGGACTCCGTAGGTGGGTATAATGGCAGATGCATCTTGCTCCCCCCACGAGCCCGCAATGGTACATGTACATGCTGACCGCCCAATGCTGCAGATCGAGTCTTTGTTCATGCCCTAAACACCGTCAAGAAGATACCCAAGACTGGAGCATCGCGGCCGCCCCCTTCCGAGCGCCTACGGCTGTATGGCCTCTACAAGCAGGCCATGGAGGGGGATGTGGATGGTGTGATGGAGATGCCCACGGCCGGGTCGGGTTTACCTCCGGACGAGCTGCAGAAGGAGCGGGATAAGTGGGATGCGTGGAATTCACAAAAGGGCTTAACCCGGACCGAGTCCAAGAGGCGATATGTCGAGGCGCTCATCGAGACAATGCACAAATACGCAAACACATCGTAAGTTGAGGTATCCCCGGATGTTGACACATGGAAACTAACTAACTCCTTCAAGTAGGGACGGGAGAGAGCTCGTTGCTGAGCTCGAGTTTGTCTGGAACCAGATCAAAGACAACGTTCCCAGCTCCGATTCCTCATCTGCCAACCCAAGTGACCCCACACATAGCTTCCATCAGCCAAGGAACGGCAGCGATGGACCCATGAAGATCCTAAGCCCCATGAGTGAACAAGACGTGGTCGAGCTGCGATCCCGCCGGCACATTGACGAGGATGACGAAGATGCGGTGGCGAGGGATGAGGAAGAACGTGCTGTCAGCCTTCAGAACAGCCGGTGGTCCAAGAAGATGGAGCGAGCCATCACCAAGCTCTCGGCAGAAGTCGCCGCCCTTCGCGAACAGATCGCCACAGGACGAGAGTGGAAGTCCAAAAAGGAAAAGAGCTTTCCTTCCTGGATAAAGTGGTTCATCTTCGTCGTCATGAAGCACCTGTTGATCGACTGTGTCGTCCTAAGCATAATACTCCTCTGGATGCGAAGTCGAAAGGACCGTCGGCTAGAAGACATCGTGAGGGCAGCGTTGCGGCTGGTTAGGGAATACGTCAGAAAGGTGCTCCCTTCCAGATGAAACAGGAATAACAGCCGACTGTACATTATTCTCTGGTCGGCGTCCAGAGAGACTCATCATCCCGTCCTAATGCGGATCAGGTTCGCAACTATCCATGCCCCGTCACGAAATACCATGTTCATCTTTCACGAATGTCACATCTATCCATTGAATGAACAACCAGACCAATTCACCTGTTCTATTACCACGGCTCCCGTCATATAAGCAATATTTAGACTATAGAGGCCAATATATATCTAGGTTCTGAATAACATAATCACTGTATTACTTCTGTTACTTTCTTATCTATATCCTTTCTTATCATCTCCTTAAAACCACGCCATCCAATAATTTAATCTAGACAAGCCAACACTTCTAGTACACTGGGTACTCAAACCATGCTTCCACATGCTCTTTTGTAGATGAGCTAGATATCGCCCTACTTGATTGCCCATGAACGGCTTATCAAAGAGGTCATATAAAATCTGTAACTCGGCGCTTCTTTCGCCTGACGATTCGGCAGCCAGCTCATAGAACCGCCAGGCACACACCATGGGAAAGAGTCCCGAGCCGCCCTGGACAGCACCGGCCATTGGCTCAAAAAAGAGATGGCCGCAATTGACAATTTTTGAAGCGTACTGTTCTGGACGGCCTATAGAGTTCTGATCGTGACCCCAATATGCTGAGTCTGTCGTATCTTCTGATAAACCGTCCACCATCGAGTCTTCGGATATAGACTCTATGATGCATGACAGCATTAAGCATATACTCCAGTAGACACAGCTTAGATGAAGCAATGAAAAATCGCTATCAAGTTGTGGTATAGGTAGAGGCAGCCCTGCAATTGCATAGTCGTAGATGGATAGATCAACATGAACCCGCCACGCAACCAAGGCGGCCTCTACCTCCCGACACTGCGGCAGGATCTTTTCTCGAATCTCATCCGCACTCTCTTGAGTACTAGACGCGGCTAGCAAATCTACTTGAACTAGAATATCTGGAATACCGCTCATAGCATCGATGAGCTTGTCTTTGGTAGATTTCTCGGTAATGGTCCAGGGGATTGTTTTCCACTCATCGGAGCTGAATGGAGATGAACACCTCCGTCTGGTGGCCAATAAAATCTATATAGCCGTAATTGTT